TGGTGTTTATCCCAAAACTGGCTTCAGTGAAGAAGAGGTTAAACTATATCTGGCCACGCCTCCTGCTGGTAAAAGACAAAAAATAATTTACCTTAAAAAACATAATTATCAAAATGAAAGATTTTGAGCCATAAAAATTTCTAGCTATACTAAATACATGTACTGGTACATGCATACCTTTAATTGACAATAATTATTTAAGGGGGCGATTGCAATTTTGGGACTGGATCATATACAGGTACAGTAAATTTTCAAGGGGTAGGCCAAAAACAAGGGGGCCCCATGCCTTCAAAGAAACCCTCCAATGGAGTAATTAATTTATAAAGTTTAAGATAATTGATTTCCTGTGTCTATAGACAATGGCTTCCTTGTCTAGTCATTATTATAAAATATTTATACTTTTATGTCTTTCCTTTCTTATGTCTGTTGCTTAATTTGTCTTTTATTATTATAATAATCTTAGTTATGCATATATGGGTCAGCTAAATACCAAATTAATGGCCATTACATGTACATGTACATTGTAGTCCCGATAGTGGCTATGCTGTATGACATTTCACTTCTAAATTTATCTTAGAAGTTTTGCTATAAAAATGTATTTTAATTTGGTGATTGTTTTGCACTCATGCGTTGCCATTGATTTTCATTAATTTGGTAATCTTAATATTGGTGATTTCTGAAAAATGCCCTGTACTATAGCTCACGGTTTTTTTCAAAATATGGCTCCAAATTCATCCCAAATTTTTATTACATTTTCTGATACATATTGATGTCCTTATGCTGTGTAGAAAGTTTGAGCTAATTCCGACATCAATTTTTCAAGTTACGGACATTAAAAAAAACGTCGAAACTCTGAAAAATGCCCTGTACTATAGCCCATGGTTTTTTTCAAAAAATGGCTCCGAAATCACCCCAAATTTTTATTACATTTTCTGATGCATATTGATGTCCTTATGCTGTGTAGAAAGTTTGAGCTGATTCCAACATCAATTTTTCAAGTTACGGCCATTTGAAAAAATGGGCCAGTTTCTGAAAAATGCCCTGTACTATAGCCCATGGTTTTTTCTGAAAAATGGCTCCAAAATCACCCCCAATTTTTATTACATTTTCTAATACATATTGATGTCCTTATGCTGTGTAGAAAGTTTGAGCTGATTCCGACATCAATTTTTCAAGTTACGGCCATTTGAAAAAATGGGCCAGTTTCTGAAAAATGCCCTGTACTATAATAGCCCATGGTTTTTTTCTGAAAAATATGGCTCCGAAATCACCCCCAATTTTTATTACATTTTCTAATACATATTGATGTCCTTAAGCTGTGTACAAAGTTTAAGGCAATTTTGGCAGAAACTTTTTTAGTTATGTCTCATCCAAAAAACTATATTAGAAGTACAGTTCATTGTATGAACAGCAAGTATACGTGATTGTTTTGTAGTGGTTTGCTAGGCTTCCTGTCATTAGCTTTAGCAAGTTCCTGTTATTCACTAGTTCAGGAAGTATTACCACCAGTAGTATCAGCCTCTCAATTCTCTCTCACTCTCTTTCTATTGCTTCATCTTTTGTGTCTAGTGCACTGGTGAACCTTTCCACCTGTTTATCATTACACTCACTAAATAAGGCTTGCTTTTGATCACCAAATAATTGAGTTTGTCTGTCTCTCTTCCTACCATTCTTAAGACCGATTCACACGTTCGTTTTACGACCGGAAGTACCAATAGACTTAATGGTGAAGCAAGAGTTGGGAATTTTTTATAAGCTCTAATGTATTACAGTGGGAATCCCACATTAAAGTGGTTACACTGTACTGTCATACATGTACAATGTACATACCTAAGTCTAATAGGATTTATTACCGAGGGTAAATAATTCGTACAGTAAGGAATGTAATTGGTACACTAGGTGCTGTCCGTTAAATGGAGGTGTGCACTATAGAGAGTGTCCATTAAGAGAGGCTATACTGTACGTGTATACATTGTAGCTTCTATGTAATGGACACTTATGGACAAGAAAGTGTCTCTGTTATACAGAGGTGTCCTTTATGTGGAGGTTATTTTATACAGTAAGGAATGTAATTGGTTCACTAGGTGCTGTCTGTTAAATGGAGGTGTACGCTATAGAGAGTGTCCATTAAGAGAGGCTATACTGTACGTGTATACATTGTAGCTTCTATGTAATGGACACTTATGGACAAGAAAGTGTCTCTGTTATACAGAGGTGTCCTTTATGTGGAGGTTATTTTATACAGTAAGGAATGTAATTGGTTCACTAGGTGCTGTCTGTTAAATGGAGGTGTACGCTATAGAGAGTGTCCATTAAGAGAGATTATATACCGTATACTTAACTTTGAATAATTAAGAATTCTTAGTACCCTAGCTATCTTTCTCAATAACAGAATCCTATCATAATAAACAGGTTTACATGAATCATAGGATGGATTCACAACATGATATTAGGTTCAGAGGTACACCCAAAACAGAATGCAGGAAGGGATGATAATTGAGCTCTCATTGTTTGTCAACTAAGAATTAGCTAATAATTGTAACAAAAGAAATACCTCTCATAGCAGGAGGCTGGCTATAGCAAGAAACAGCACCTGTTAATATTGACTATAAATGGACATGTACTCTACGATATTTCAAATTGTATGTATACAGTGCTGCCTCTATATAATGGACACTTATGGAGCAGAAAGTGTCTCTGTTATACAGAGGTGTCCTTTATGTGGAGGTTATTTTATACAGTAAGGAATGTAATTGGTACACTAGGTGCTGTCCGTTAAATGGAGGTGTACGCTATAGAGAGTGTCCATTAAGAGAGACTATACTGTATACATGTACTCAATGTCATGTGATTATAGCTGCTGAGACTAGAAGTCTGTATGAGCTGTTTCATTTAACATGATAGGAACTGGAACTGATGGTTTTCAGCAGTAGTATTAAATTACCAAAACCTCATAAGAAGGATTTTGGTTACACACGTAATTATTAATCAACACACACAGATACAGTGTACTTACACGTACATGTATATGTTATTAGATCTTGGTCAGTTTATCATTTTTGGTTGGTTACTCCCTTATCTGCTTTATAGCCAATAATCTTGATATGGCGATAATAAAACCATTTGTTGCCATGCCAATGTGGCTTTGTTCAATATCTTTATCAGAGGTGGTTATTACTGGCACTGGCTCATCACCATGACAACATCAGGAATTTCAGTAGTTGAATGACATTTTCTATAGCATGCACCTCCATTTAACGGACAGCACCTAGTGTACCAATTACATTCCTTACTGTATAAAATAACCTCCACATAAAGGACACCTTTGTATAGCGTATAGCAGACAATTTTAGAGGGAAGAAATTGAGAGGAATTATTGAGTAGAATTCTAGAGCAAATTCATAAAGAATAATGGAAACAAGGGCAAGTAGGATTCCAAACGACCAACAAAGATACGAAATAAAAATGCTACTCTCGTGATGCAAATTCTACTCTACATTGCAAGGTGATTAATAATTTTTAGATAATAACATTAAAAGTACAATGTAGAGTAGAATATGCATCATGGGAGTAGGATTTTCATTTCATATCTTTGTTGGTCGTTTGGAATCCTACTTGCCCTTGCTTCCACTACTTTTTTTATGAATTTGCTCTAGAATCCTACTTAATCTTGTTTTTTTAAGTATGTTCTCTTTATTAGATCTTGGTCAGTTTATCATTCTTGGTTAGTTATTTCCTTATCTGCTTTATAGCCAATAATCTTGATATGGCGAAAATAAAGCCATTTGTTGCCATGCCAATGTGGCCTTGGTTCAGTATCTTTATCAGAGGTGATTATTACTGACACTGGCTCATCACCATGACAACATCAAAAAGTTTAGCAGACACCTCCATGTAAGCAATTACATTTTTAATTAACCAATATGGCCAATAAAGTAGTATTGAATAACACTCTCTTTAGCATACACCTCCATTTAACGGACAGCACCTGGTGTACCAATTACATTCCTTACTGTATAAAATAACCTCCACATAAAGGACACTTCTGTAATACAGTATAGCAGGTAATTCTGGAGGGGGAAAATATAGAGGAATTGCTAAAATTTTGATGATCTTTGCAAAATTTGTTGCCATTGAGCATGTACATAATAGTACAAAATGGTGAGTTTTAACTACATGTGTATTTTAAATGCCAAATTTGCTCCCTCCAAAATTACCAGCTATACTGTAACAGAAAAACTCTTTAGTGTCCATACCCTCCTCCATACTGCCCATACCCTCCATACTGCCTAGTAAATATTGCCTGCATAAAAAGTAAGTTTACAATCTCTGACATCGTTTCCTTGAACCCTGCATTAAGAAGTCTCACCATTAAAGCTATGAGGTACCTACATATATTAAAGACACACTTTGTAATACAGTCAATCAGTGGCTCACACTCTCTACTGTGGTGTTAGGATGGTTCGTGTGCGATGATGCAGTCTTTGTACAGCATCACCTGTTTATTATTGGCAACCCTTGACCTCACCACCTGTTCCTGTATGAATACATCACTGGCTGGGCACTGGTACATTTTCACTAAAGTTGGTTAACACTTTTTTAATGTATTAACATTGATTGACGCAGCCCAAGTACTAGCTACTAGCTGCTAATATGATCATTGGATTTAAGTGTATGAGTCATTTCAGCTTTTGGTGTCATCTTAAGATTAAGGTTCAGTGTTGTATATGTACATTTACAATGTTCCCTTTTTATAATGGACACTTATGGATAAGAAAGTGTCTCTGTTATACAGAGGTGTCCTTTATGTGGAGGTTATTTTATACAGTAAGGAATGTAATTGGTACACTAGGTGCTGTCAGTTAAATGGAGGTGTACGTTATAGAGAGTGTCAGTCACTACTATTGTATTGACTGTATAGTTTGATTATAAATGTAATTGTTAAATGGATTACTATCGTCATCGAATAAGGCAAGTATGTTTACATTATATTTTCCTTGTACATATACATGTACATGTACATGTATGTCTAATTCCGCCTGGAGCTGCCTTACAGAATGTTATGTCCTCAAAAAGCCATACATGATGCGTTACATGTGGCTAAGACTACATTATCTTCAACCAAAGCCATTAGTGTCACATGTACATGCATCCTTAGGCAATGTACATGTACATGTACATGTACAGTTGTTTACATTATAATGTAGTGCACGTCACATCCCATTGTTTGGGCGTGTTTATTTAATTGATTTAATTACCACAAGTGTCCCTATTTTATTGTTCTATTGTGGTCGATATGTCCCTTCATAATTTCTGCTGATGAAAGCCTCTGAAATAAGGACACCTTTATAATGAGGACACCTTTATAATGAGGACATTTTGTAATGTCCCAATTGGTACAAACCTATACAAAAGTACCTCTGAAATGAGGACACCTCTGTATTAAGGACAGGTAGTGTGGGCCCATAGTGTACACCTCCATTTAACGGACAGCACCTAGTGTACCAATTACATTCCTTACTGTATAAAATAACCTCCACATAAAGGACACCTCTGTATAACAGAGACACTTTCTTGTCCACAAGTGTCCATTATATAGAGGCTACACTGTAAAAGAGTTGTTTAACAATAACTTAAACTATAAAAAAATATTTTGAAATGTGGCTTGGCTGTTAAGATATATATGAAGTGTCCATTATATAGAGGCTACACTGTAGTAGCCTCAGGAGTACTATCCCTCTACATGTGGTCACCTGCAAAACCTTATCCTAACAATAGCAACCATTGGGATGCACTAATTGATGTATTAATCGTCAATATGTACATGGACCATTAGCCTACATGTATATAAGTACATGTAATAGTATGGGCCGTACATACATACATGTACAATGTACATGTACGTGCATGTAATGGACATATGTTACTGATAATATGGTGTGATTGGCGTGTTTTTGTGTTCATTGTATTTGTACGTCAGGTATTTGATGATGGTTTAATATTGGTTAGGTTTCCATAGAAATGCATATGCAGGTGTCTGTATGAGACTACCCACACTGGCTGTAAACACTTTTGGATTAATTGGCTTTTCTTTATCATTTTTATGTACCTTTTTATTTTATTTTCTCTCTCCTCCCTCTCTCTTTCTCCTCCCTCTCTCTCTCTCTCTCTCTCCTCCCTCTCTCTTTCTCATCCCCCCTCTCTCTCTCTCTCTCTCCTCCCTCTCTCTCTGTCCTCAGGTATTACAGCTGAAGTATGGGAACAATGTAAAAAGGAGAATCCTGATCCTCAACAGTGAGAAACACTCATAATAATTATGAGTGTCTAATGCATACACTGATGTTCTTGTACTTGTGCTTGAATATGTTTTCTTTACAGTAAACAACAGTTATATTATAGTATAGTCTCTCTTAATGGACACTCTTTATAGCGTACACCTCCATTTAACGGACAGCACCTAGTGTACCAATTACATTCCTTACTGTATAAAATAACCTCCACATAAAGGACACCTCTGTATAACAGAGACACTTCCTTGTCCATTATATAGAGGCTACATGTATCATTATTAATAATTAGTTCACTAAGTCATATCAATTACTACAGATCTCTCTCTCTCTCTCTCAGTTATATTCCAGTAGCTGTAGTTGGAACTGAGGAATTGTTAAAAAGAATAAAATGTCAAGACCAAGAGTGTAAACTCCATGACATGAGACTAAAGGTATATGTACATGTATAATGGATCCTTCTCCCCTCTCTCCCTCCCTTTCTCTTCATGTGTACATGTACTTTAAAGTCATTATCTTATTATACTAATTCTAATTAAATAATTAATTAGTAGTGTTTATACAGACGGGTTGCTCGGGTTATGATAATTATTATGAATTGAAAATTATTTACTATCAACCGCCAAACAGTGAACACTTATAGCAGCAGAATAAGCGGTTGCCATGTACATGTACATATACATGTGTACATGTATATGTACATGCACGCATGATTATGACACACATCCTGGAGTGGGTCCCTAATTGTTTTTATACTCTTTTTCATGAGTTTTTGTATTGTGTGTGATGTAATCTTTGTTAACATTGTCACTCCTATTTCCTTGTACATCCAATCTTTTTCCTTTTTAAATATCTCTCTTTTACCCACACACACACACACACACACACACACACACACACACACACACACTCTCTCTCTCTCTCTCTCTCTCTCTCTCCTCCTCCTCCTTTCTCTTTCTCTTTCTCTCTCTCTCTCTCTTTCTCTCTCTCTCTCTCCTCCTCCTCCTCTCTCTCTCCCCTCCTCTCTCTCTCTTCTCCCAGATAATGTCAGAAGACATTAAAGATTTACAGCAGGCCCAGGTTACCTCAGTTGCTAGAATTTCAGAGTATAAACGTAAGCTTGATGATCTCAGTCACAGAATACTTAAGGTATGTTCATTTCATGTTAAAATGTTCAATGATATTTTAACTTTAATGATTCTGTGTATGTCTATGAATGAATAAATGTATACATGCACAGGAACCAACTATTTGATACATGTACAGTGTAGCCTCTTTATTAAGGACACCATTGGGCCCACACTACCTGTCCTTAATACATGTACAGTGTAGCCTCTTTATTAAGGACACCATTGGGCCCACACTACCTGTCCTTAATACATGTACAGTGTAGCCTCTTTATTAAGGACACCATTGGACCCACACTACCTGTCCTTAATACATGTACAGTGTAGCCTCTTTATTAAGGACACCATTGGGCCCACACTACCTGTCCTTAATACATGTACAGTGTAGCCTCTTTATTAAGGACACCATTGGGCCCACACTACCTGTCCTTAATACATGTACAGTGTAGCCTCTTTATTAAGGACACCATTGGGCCCACACTACCTGTCCTTAATACATGTACAGTGTAGCCTCTTTATTAAGGACACCATTGGGCCCACACTACCTGTCCTTAATACATGTACAGTGTAGCCTCTTTACTAAGGACACCATTGGGCCCACACTACCTGTCCTTAATACATGTACAGTGTAGCCTCTTTATTAAGGACACCATTGGGCCCACACTACCTGTCCTTAATACATGTACAGTGTAGTCTCTTTATTAAGGACACCATTGGGCCCACACTACCTGTCCTTAATACATGTACAGTGTGGCCTCTTTATTAAGGACACCATTGGGCCCACACTACCTGTCCTTAATACATGTACAGTGTAGCCTCTTTATTAAGGACACCTTTGGGCCCACACTACCTGTCCTTAATACATGTACAGTGTAGCCTCTTTATTAAGGACACCATTGGGCCCACACTACCTGTCCTTAATACATGTACAGTGTAGTCTCTTTATTAAGGACACCATTGGGCCCACACTACCTGTCCTTAATACATGTACAGTGTGGCCTCTTTATTAAGGACACCATTGGGCCCACACTACCTGTCCTTAATGTATGTCCTCATTTCAGAGGTACTTTAGTAAAGGTTTGTACCAATTGGGATGTTACAAAATTTACAAAATTTCCTTATTATAAAGGTGTCCTTATAGTACACTAGTATGAGTTTGTATGTTTTTGTTTACATACAAATGGAGTTTCTTTACATGTTTGTTTGTCTACCATGTACTTTTAATGACAATAAATTATTTATTTATTAAATTAATTTCTCACTAATTAAAATAACTTTGATGTTGGAATAAGGATCATTATTAAATTTGTAAGTCTTCATAAACTTTAGCTCCAAGACATTACAATGTAGCCTCTATAGTTAATAGAGACTGTACTTATGAATAGAAAGCTTGTCTAGTATACAATACAGAAGTATATTTTTATCATTATCATTATTATTGTTATTGTTTTTTTTGAAAAAGCATGGACTATAGCCTGTAGTTATAGTTTTTAAACTTAAAAGTATTATAACTGCTGTTTTTATAATTGCCTTGATATTGGTAATAATAATATTTACTATGACTGAGATGTACATGTATGCATTTAAGTCATATAATAGTATTTTTAGTGTTTAATTCTAGTATTATTATTATTATTAATTGTTTTTAAAAGGTTATGGTAGCACAGGAAAAGTATAGAAAGTTTGGTTGGTCTGTACAACCAGTGGAAGAACTACTGAGGTAAGAGAGAGAGAGGGGGGGAGAGAGAGAGAGAGAGAGAGAGAGAGAAAGAGAGAGAGAAAGGAAAGAGATTTTAAGGCTTTCCAAATTTGCGGTCTAAGTTACTCTGTCATTTCTATGTCTGCATATGGTCAGTGGATTATTGTGACAGCTGGTACTGAATGAGCCAAATACTATGAGATCCATTCAATGAGTGGAAATATGTACTTGTGCACGAGTAGGACATCATCTCTAGTTGTTGTATGTGCATGTGCAAGGAATGTGCATATGAGAGGAGAGGGAGGAGGAGGGAGGGAGAGAGAGAATTGCATGATTATTTAAAGCCATGCAAGCTGTATTAATAATGTATAATTTTTTATTAAGTTTATACGGAATAAAAAGTTTGTTTCTTAAGCTTTAAAAGGTTTCTTTTAACACGTTCCTCCATTGGCTTTTATTTGCCCTCTTTTTCCTTAAATTTGATGTACAGTATAGCCTCTCTTAATGGACACTCTCTATAGCGTACACCTCCATTTAACAGACAGCACCTAGTGTACCAATTACATTCCTTACTGTATAAAATAACCTCCACATAAAGGACACCTCTGTATAGCTTCATAAGTGTCCATTGTACTTGTATAAATGCTTTTTTATTAGCATTACTTCAAGAACATGTAGCTGCAAATCTCCTAAAATTATAATTATGATAATATTACTTTCAACCTTGGCCCTGAAAGAAACCTTTTTAGTTTATGTGTAAAATATTATGTAATATTACGATTGCATGTAACACACACACACATGTACATGTATATATGTACATGTACATGTATATAAGTCTGTATTACGTGTAGATACAGTGTAGCCTCTATATAATGGACACTTATGGAGCAGAAAGTGTCTCTGTTATACAGAGGTGTCCTTTATGTGGAGGTTATTTTATACAGTAAGGAATGTAATTGGTACACTAGGTGCTGTCCGTTAAATGGAGGTGTACGCTATAGAGGGTGTCCATTAAGAGAGACTATACTGTATTAATTACGTGTACATATACTTACATATTTCATCATTATTGTTTACATTATTGTTTGTGAGAGTATCTGTTCGTTGGCGTCAATCTAATTAGTAACGTCATTTTTTTAATATTTTGAATATTTTTCAGGGGAAAGCTCGAGGCAATTATTAGAGAATTGGAATCGCCTACTCTACTGAAGGTAAAGAATGCGGAAAGTCTTGTACATGTACATGTGAAAAGTTAATTTTATAAATTAATTTTGTTTTTTGAAAGTATAGGGTCGTCTGAATGAGATTACGTGTCAGTTAAGGATTCAGGGTCATCATCAGTCGCTGACGAGTAGTCATGGCAACGCAGGGAAACATTTAATGGATCCTTATTTAACAGAGAATGTTAAAGATGTAAGGAAAGAGAGAGGGAGAGAGAGAGGGAGGGAGAGGGAGAGAGGGAGGAAGAGAGAGAGAGAGAGGAAGAGAGAGAGGAGAGAGGGAGGAAGAGAGAGAGAGAGAGAGAGGAGAGAGGGAGGAAGAGAGAGAGAGAAGTCTGAGAAGATATAATCTAGCAATGACTGATCATTATTAAGAATGATCCATGACGTACAAATAAATGCAATCCCACTCTTCGTAGATTACATGTACCTGTAATGGTATGGCTACGCATGAACAAGTACATTACAGTATGTTCATACATTTACAGTACATGTACATGTACAGTATAGTCTCTCTTAATGGACACTCTCTATAGCGTACACCTCCATTTAACGGACAGCACGTAGTGTACCAATTACATTCCTTACTGTATAAAATAACCTCCACATAAAGGACACCTCTGTATAACAGAGACACTTTCTTGCCCATAAGTGTCCATTATATAGAGGCACCACTGTATAGATGTACTCATGAAGGTGTGTATTAATTGGAGGGAGTGAATAGAATGGAATGTCTATTGTTAAATGATTTGTTAAGGAATGCCAACAGCTGGTAATAGTTGTATTTTGGAAATTTAAAAAATTAATCGACAGGTGTAATTAAAATAGCAATTAATAGTATTTATCACTAAGATTATGCTGTCAGTGTATTCAATGCTTCTTAAGCCCTGGTTTATACTCGCCATAAAATGCAACGGAAATGAATGCAAAATTAAAATTTGACCAATTTTGTGTCAACTTCAAAGCGTTTTTGTGTCAAAAGATCAAATCGCCCACGCACTTTTAACTGTTTTGTTAAATGTAAGCCTCATAGCTTTAGGAACTGATATCCTGTGTAGTGTGCATACATATTCATAATAATAATAATAATTATTATTATGATAATATATTATTTAATTTTTATCAAATATTTATTGCTAATATTGATTGTCTTATCTCTGTACTTTATTTTTGTGTACATGTTAAATCTTGAGCTGTTTTTGATTAGGATTTTTACCATCAGTCAAAAATTACATTTTCTTTTTGGTGACAGATTTCGCTTTTTACATTTCCGTTAAGAGAAGCTGTAGAAAGACACGACACGCGACATTTAATACGATTATCTCCTGATCTAATACATTGTGTGTAGCTCTGCTAATTAAGATTAATTAATTATAATTTTATCTGATCATCGTCCTGTGAGAGGGTACAATGCACTTAAAGAGTTTAAATTCAATTAATGACTTAATTAATTTAATTATATTGCAGACAAAGTTTTATGCTTATACAATCACACATCACTTGTGTGTGTGTTAACATTGTGTACAGGAATATTACTTTATGAGGTATCTGTACATGTAGAGATTCTATCAAAACAACTACAGTGTAGCCTCTATATAATGGATACTTTGGTACAAGAAAGTGTCTCTGTTATACAGAGGTGTCCTTTATGCGGAGGCTATTTTATACAGTAAGGAATGTAATTGGTACACTAGGTGCTGTCCGTTAAATGGAGGTGTACGCTATAGAGAGTGTCCATTAAGAGAGACTATACTGTCAATCCTAAAGCACTGTCTTGTTGCTACAAGTGAACAATTTATTCATCATT